GGAATTTTCCGGTGATACTCAGACACGAGAAATTACCCCTCCTGGTGGGCTCTCGGCATCCACGTGGGGAAAATAACACATCAGTCCTTGTAGAGTATCATCTGATGCCAGACTTCACGGGCAATGGTGCTACAATCGCGTAAGGGTCCTCACGAAGACACATTGCGGCATGATTCAACTGCACTGCAGCGTCAGAATGATGAGATGCAGCTTCGCGCTCCAATGCCATCACGAGCCCCGAAAGCAAGCTATCAAAGCCGTAACCTAGCGCATTCTTCCTAATACGATTCAGTTCTCTAAAAAATACCGAAGTCTTCTCTGGCAGTTTCCGCGCTGTGCGGATAATTTTCATTAGATCCGATTCCAAACTAACGTCATCCGTCCACACATGATAACCGGCATTCTGAAAATGGAAACAAGATGGTAAAGCAATAAGTTCATCTACTTGGCAAAATCATTACGCGCTGCAACTGTTTGAAACATTTTCAAAACGGTTTCCCATCGCTCTGTTTCTGTAAACTTGAAATTCATTCAACTTTTTGATCTTGATCCAAAAAAAAAATGCAATGCGTAACAACAAGAAATTCCTAGGATATTCTCACTTTTCCAATCATGAACAAAACAGCCAGGCAGCGAGCTAGGAAATTTCTAGATCGAAATTTTCTTTCACGTTTAAAAAAATTGCCCGTAACCCATTGTTTACTACAATTAATCTCAGACTAAATGGTTTTAACTTTACAGCGGAAGATTCACTATCGATCGTCTTCTCGGGCAGGATTTTTCTGTTAAAAGACCATGGAATTACACACACATTCATCAACACGAAATTTGCCATTAATTTTTCGAATCTTTATACACAGTAGCCTGAATCGACCCCAATATTGTAGTGCCAATACATATACTGTATCAGAAACTGAACACTGAAATGTCATATACTGTATTTCAGTAACTCAGCGCCTCTACAATGCTGGCTGTATTCCGCCACTTCTCTCTTCACCATTCTTGAATGACTTGAAGAATGGCCAATAAATTTTAATAAGGTGCTCCACCTGTGAGTGTGAGTACTGTAAACGAAACTGTATAGTCTAGGGGGAATGGCGGCATACGGTACTAGTTTACTTTATTTCTTGCCGAGGCCTTCGATTTTTTAATCTTATAAAACACCTACATAGATTAACAAAATCTTACTCAACCCTGAACTAAAATGACCTGAATGAAAAAAACCTAACCTGACCTTCAGGTCTTTCTGAAATAACCTGAATTAAAGTAAAACTGAGTATAACATGATTACCAAGTAGCTCAACCTAATTCGACACATAATACAGTAATGGTTGAATAATTTATTCCCCTCTCGGATACTGTATTAGACTGGAAAAAACCAGCATCACAGAATTTCATACATATCATATGTTACGGTATTTTGTCTTGGCAGTCTTCCAGGCATTTAACACCAACAAAAGGGTATTCCTGAAGTCACCCACTGGAAGCCATTACAGTACTGTATACAGAAGTGGCTCAGACAGGGAGTGGCGCTCACAATCATGGCGTGGACAATGAAGCATTGAACAGTGTGGCTCAATGAGAGAGAGTGGCGTTCACAGTGGTGGCGTGGACGAAGAAGCTTTGAGAAGAGTGGCTCAGGGATAAAGTGAAGTACGGTAGGGTGTCAACATGGGCATTTAATGTGAAGAGTCGGAATATTTCGTAGTGAGTGGGAATCGCCGGATAATTGAGACGTGAAATATTTGCAATGCCGACGTTGATAGCTGTGCAGGCATCGGTTTCACTCACAGAACCGTTCACCAGCGGTGGAAATGCTGATGAAGAGGAGCGCTCTGTCAAGCGAGCCGGTCACTCACGGGTGGACTTCGTGAAAGCAGCTGTTAGAGGCATATTGAATCATTTTGGATCTTCGCTGAAGCTGGATTCAGTGGCGTTGGTGCGTAGCTGATGTGCCGCTCCATTCTACTTTCCTCTATTGTTGCCTATTGATCATTGCTAGATTGCGTACGCATCGAGCTATGAAGTGTTGGTGCCGTTTACCCGAGACATCTCGGCCATTGAAGCAGGCTTGGCGAAAATCACTTGGAAGGAAGGCAACAATCTCGAAGCCGTGCTTCATGGTGCATACATGCTCATGAAACAAGTGGATAATATGAACGCGTCCTCGTGCAGAGCGGTTTTCATCACCGACGGACATTTGGGGCCAATATCGCACGCACTCCGCCGACAACTCATTACGGATGGCGGGGAAGACCGGTGCAAGCTCAGAGAACCTTCTTCTATGAAATCGGAGATAATCGGACAGCTGTCAATGATGGGATTGCACGGGAGAACGCATTCTGCTTCATCTCCGCGAGCTCAAGATTTTCCTTTGGCCTTCCCTTTCCCGTTCGAGTTGCATTTCATCACACTTTGCGAGGGAAATGATCGATCTTGCTTGGTGGGGCGAGCAGTTATTGATAAAATCTTGGACTGGAATCTGAAGTCAGGATCTCGTTTTTCAGTTCAGCCAAGTTCCGGCTTTCAGGTATGTATCGTAGTTCATTTTCAGCTATTGCCATTTCTTCGCTAAAAAGCTTCTGATTTCCATTTTTAACTCGTCCTCATCTGAAGGGAATGCGAGCTGCTGTCGAAAAACTCTGTTCAGGTGCCATTCCCATATACAAAGCTGACCTTCGATGCGGAACTTTGAGTGAGCGTGTTACTCTCTTTCCCATGCCGGACAAAGTGAGTTTTTTTGCTTGACTAACGTAAGTTCAATATTTAATTGAATGAATTACTTTTAGGAAATGTCGAGGAATTTGGCGATTATCGGTTTTCTCAATTTAACGGATATTGGTAGTCCAGCACTGTCCAACCGTTTTGTGATGTATCCTTTGCCACCTGAGAAAGATGCTGTGTTGCGAACAAAAGGACGCAAGTCTGCCAAGAAGATACGTCTAAGTTTGGACGATGCTCTCGACGACGATATCGACGATGCAAAAACACCCTCTCTGTGTGTTTTGCTTCACGCTGCATTGAGAGTGAGTATTGCCGGAAGGTATTATTCTCCATGTAGTATTTTATTGCCTGCGTCAGGAAATTATTTTTTATAGCTTCTAGCGTTTTTGCTGAAGATGCCGGAAGAAGTTTTCATTTCATGTTTCATTTCAGGTTGCGAATGTAACAGCTATTGTTCGCTTCGATAGTTATAAATTTGGGATGCTTTTTCCATCACCAACTGACGCTCGACGGCGGAAACTCCTTCTTTCTGTTTTTCTTGCGGGTCCGAAGCCGGTTCCTTGGATAGCGAACTTCAACCACCTTGCTCCTTCGCCTGAGGCTAGTTAACGTTTTTGATTTAATCGAGATTGCTTTGACATTTTTCGGAAATTTGTATCGAGTGTGTTGTTTGATCAGGTGAAAGAATTTGGAGGGCCGAAAGATAGTCCAATGTCCCCCGATGCAAGAGATGCGGGCGAACTTCAAGAAGATGGAGGAAGTCTTATGGATATTGATGATGATGACGACGAGGACGATGCTATTTTGGAGGACGACGATGAAACATGTGATCTCTTGTTACCGTCCTCAAATGTAAAAACCCGACCTAGTTATGCGGCGGTGAGTTTGGCATCCTTCGTCGATAATCCCGTATCACTTTGATGACCGCCTGAGTAATCACTCAAATTTTTTTTAGAGGTTTTCACGTGTTATCGATCTTGCCGATAAATCATTCGTAAAACTATATAAAATTTTCGCGTAGTTATGCTAACCCAGCTTAGACCCGCAATCCGTAAAATAATATTATTGAAAACAAGTTTTCAACAACCTAGATGTGCTTTAGTTTTTGAACCCAGCACCAAGATTGTCCCCAATTACACTTCACATCTTCAAATTGTAATTTTGTCTATTTGCGTTCAGGATTTGCCTTTAGCAAGTTTTGAAAATCTCTCCAAGAAGCTTCTTGTTTTCTTTGGACACTGCATAAGATACAGTATATGTATTGGCACTACAATATTGGTGTCGATTCAGGCTACTGTGTATAAAGATTCGAAAAATTAATGGCAAATTTCGTGTTGATGAATGTGTGTGTGTAATTCCATGGTCTTTTAACAGAAAAATCCTGCCCGAAAAGACGATCGATAGTGAATCTTCCGCTGTAAAGTTAAAACCATTTAGTCTGAGATTAATTGTTGTAAACAATGGGTTACGGGCAATTTTTTTAAACGTGAAAGAAAATTTCGATCTAGAAATTTCCTAGCTCGCTGCCTGGCTGTTTTGTTCATGATTGGAAAAGTGAGAATATCCTAGGAATTTCTTGTTGTTACGCATTGCATTTTTTTTTTGGATCAAGATCAAAAAGTTGAATGAATTTCAAGTTTACAGAAACAGAGCGATGGGAAACCGTTTTGAAAATGTTTCAAACAGTTGCAGCGCGTAATGATTTTGCCAAGTAGATGAACTTATTGCTTTACCATCTTGTTTCCATTTTCAGAATGCCGGTTATCATGTGTGGACGGATGACGTTAGTTTGGAATCGGATCTAATGAAAATTATCCGCACAGCGCGGAAACTGCCAGAGAAGACTTCGGTATTTTTTAGAGAACTGAATCGTATTAGGAAGAATGCGCTAGGTTACGGCTTTGATAGCTTGCTTTCGGGGCTCGTGATGGCATTGGAGCGCGAAGCTGCATCTCATCATTCTGACGCTGCAGTGCAGTTGAATCATGCCGCAATGTGTCTTCGTGAGGACCCTTACGCGATTGTAGCACCATTGCCCGTGAAGTCTGGCATCAGATGATACTCTACAAGGACTGATGTGTTATTTTCCCCACGTGGATGCCGAGAGCCCACCAGGAGGGGTAATTTCTCGTGTCTGAGTATCACCGGAAAATTCCGCAGCTGTGGTGTTTTTATATTTGTGTTCATGATTTTTGGACGGATATTTGTGCAAAATTATAATACGAGCCTTCAGAAGCTTCGTAGGGCGTCTCAATCGTGTAATTCCATCTTCTATTTGTGTTAACTTTCTGGAGAAGGCCTCAGGAAATGTATCTCGTTGTGGTACCTTGAAACTCGGGTATATTTTGGGACAGGAAGCTTATAGGGTTGCAATAGTATGTTCGGAAATCAGTTCCAATGGTTGCCAAACCCATCATCAATTTTAAGGGGTTTTTGGTCCGGATAGATATGATATGTAGAGTGTAGTTCGGCAAATTCTACTCTCTCCCCAGCAGAAATTTTTGGAGTTTCTGGATTAACTTCTGTTTTCGTTTTGGACTACCAGGTGCATCACTGCCAAGTAGTTCTGAGCGAGCATTTTCCTGAGTCCATCTAACAAAATTGTCTAAGGAAACTGCTCATCGCTTTTTTTTCATGTATTTCTGCCGCAGAACTGGTATTTTTATATTTTTCCGGGCTTCAGTATGGAGGGAGATGACGTGAGTGCTTGATTTTGAATGGAGGTTTTTCTTCAGTTGACGTGAATTTTTCTTACAGGTCATATGGGGCATCATCAATCACAGTTTCTGTTCCTTCAAAATAAGGTAAACTCTTCGCAATGCGTTATATTTTACTTCGGGATGGGACGCAGATTCTTTTTTTTTTTTCGAGTAGTTCTTAAAATCAGGCGTGTGAATCCGCCGGCAAAGTCAAGGTGTACCGCGTTTACAAAGAAAGCTCTGATTTTAAGCGTGATTCTCTCGAAGTGTCGTTTATCGTGACGAGGCAGTTCAACACCGTGAATGTCATTACTGTCGCTTTTCAAAAAATTTGAATAAATTGTGTCTGATGAATGCGTGGCCCTATAGATTACATCATGTTATTCAATTAAAAAGCTGGAGTAAACGTCAATTAACTTGGAATCTTGAATGTTTTCATCATTATCGGATACTTTCATAATCGTTTCCGTTAGTATCCTCAAAATAAAAATAAACTCGTTTCATTACCTCTTCTGCTATATGAACCGAAGGTATTATTAAGAAGGTAGAATAATGTACAATACTGTACTTCCAGACCGTGGGTGTTTCACTGAATTCATGTGTAGTTTTTTTATTGTGACAGATTAATCGTGCCGATTTTTTTCACAGCACGACGACCACGAAATTGTGTCGCAATGAGTGGAACCTCACCGGGCTTTGCTCAAGAAAAAGTTGTCCCTTGGCCAATAGTCAGTATGCGACAGTAAGAGAAGAGGAGGGCATGGTCTATCTCTACATGAAAACTGCGGAGAGGTTCGTTTTCCTGCGATTAAAACGAAAGCGGCATGCTCTGAAGAAACTAAATGCTGTATTATTTTGCAGAACTCATTACCCAGCTCGCCAATGGGAAAAGGTTCGACTTTCTCGAAATTTCGATAAAGCGCTCACACAGATAAATGAAAATCTGGTATTTTGGCCGGGTTTCATACTCAGTAAGTGTCGGCAGAGATTTCGAACTATCTCGAAATACCTCCAACGGGTTCGGAAGTTGAAACTTACGCGACAGTGAGTACTAAATCTTTTTATTTCTGTGGTTTCAATTTCAAAGGCGGGAAAGGTGAAAATTCATTCATGCGTTTTTTGTGAAACTGTCTGTGCGATTTTATGTGAGCACCCGAAGAATTATGTTCGTCTCGTTAATCATAGGAAGAAGATTGTTCCACTACAAAGGAAGATTGAAAGGCGCGAGCGACGACGTGAGGAAAAAGCGCTGATCGCAGCCAAATTGGACAACGCAATTGAGAAAGAACTACTCGAGAGATTGCGCAAAGGAGTGGTATGATCGAGAAAAATGTTATGAGCTGGGTGTTTTGTCAGCTTTTACCTTTTTTTGAAGTACGGAGGCATTTACAACTTCCCACAAGCTGCGTTTGACAAAGCCCTTGAAGTCGAAGCTGTGGAAGAAGACGTGGAATACGTGACCGACGAGGAGGAGAGAGAAAGTGAGTCGGAAGCAGAAGCAACGGACGAGGAAGAAGAGGAGGAAGAAGAAGAAGAAGCGGAAGGAGTTGGAGAGCGGGTTTTTGTAGCTGCGGACGAGTTTGATGAGAGTGATGTTTCTGATATTGAAGTGAGTCGAACGCAGTTATTTCTTACTTTCTGTTCTTCAGTTCTCGTCAACCTTTTGTGTTCTAGGACACTAAAACTACAGAAACCAAAGATAAGTGAGTCGAACGCAGTTATTTCTTACTTTCTGTTCTTCAGTTCTCGTCAACCTTTTGTGTTCTAGGACACTAAAGCTACAGAAACCAAAGATGATGCCTCCAAGCAAGACTCATCACAACGGAAGAAGTCCCTAGTTCTGCGCCGACCGCGTCCACGCGTTGAAATTGAATATGAGACGGAAGCTGCCCCAAAACGAAAAAGCTCCATGATTTGAATTCGGAAATTTGTTGACGGTTGACTTGCAATAAAGTCCGCGTCAAATGGCTGATGTATCTACGTCTCTCTTCATGCAATCTACCTCTCTCTCCATATGTGCCTTTTGAGCGAGACTGGTTCTTATGTATTACTTCACAGAGAGATATGGTGTAGAACGATTTCGAACCATGACAGAACCATTTGCAGACTTGGAGGATGGCTTCGGATACCTCTCCCTGGCAAAATCCTGCCAAGCGATGAGAATCCCGGATAAAGATAAGGTGCTGTATGTGAAAAAATTCCCGGCAATGTCCGAAAAAAGACAATTTTTATTCTGCAGACAGGGAAATGCCGAACCGTGGCTGATTTTGAGAAGCTGGACAAACTCGGGGAAGGAACATATGGCGTTGTTTGTAAGTTTATCAATTGTGCTTTTGCGGATGCTGAAAGGCAAAAGGTCCCTCCGATGAAAAAAATGTGTATCTTGACTCGCAGAAGGGCTTACTTCGAAGGTATATTCGGCATCTAGGCGTTGAAGATTGAAAGGTTTCGAAATATTCTAAATTCAGTCATTTTTACTCTCGGGTTCTCCTAGCTGCACTCGCTGCAAAACTAACGTAATTGCCGGGGTCTCGTTTTGGTGAATTAGAACTTCAGATTTGAATTTTTATTAAAATTTTGACAACTTGGTCGTTGTGCGTTTTACGGAGAGGAGAGGAATTCAACAGGTACCTGGAAATTGTGCTTCCGTCTCTTTTCTTTTAGGCTGGCCCTATTTTGGTGACACATTCTACTGATCTGCCTCTTGAGCACAATTTTTTCATCTTCACTCTCCAACAATAATGTATGAATTGTAAAAATAAATTCACATTTTCTGTTTCTTTTTTTTTCCTTTTTTCGCAAGATAAAGCAAGAGATCGGTCAACCAACGAGATCGTGGCAATGAAGAGGATCAAAATCAGCAAACCTTCCGATGGGCTTCCGGTGCACGCGCTGCGCGAAATTGCGCTATTGTTGAAATACAGTCAACACACGAACATCGTGAATGTACGGGAGGTCGTCATCAACAGCAAATGCTTGCACATGTATGAAGTTTTTCCATGTGTTTTTGATATTTTCTCGTCAGCAAGTGTATTAAACGTGTCTTCGTAGATTTTTCATGGTCATGGAGTATTGCGACGACGATCTCTGTAACATAGTGGGTGAACTAAGGCGTCCCTTGCCCGAGAAACAGGTGAAGTTCGTGCTGCAGCAATTGTTGAGCGGTTTGGCGTATTTGCATCGGCACTTCATCGTTCATCGGGACGTGAAGCTTTCGAATCTGCTTATGTCAGGCGCGGGCGTCATCAAGCTTGGTGAGCACATATCGCGCCTGTGCACCTAAAAAGAAATTTTGAAATGTTCAGACCTTGTTAGTTTTCATTCGGGTATTTTGTGAGACGCGTCAATAATCGTGTTGTTAGAATGCGCTCGAAACTGCTCCTAAATTAAATTCCCTGGAAGGGTACGTTTCTGAGCAACTTGCGTGAACTAATTTTTATTTCACTTATTATGGAATTATGCATTTTTCGGAAGACACAACTTACATTCGTTCGTTTGAAACTCCCTCTAGTTTCAGATTTTAAAAAAAAAATTTTGCTCGAACTTCATATATTTGTGCAAGGAAATTCCTGAATTTACCTATGTACTAGCTGGGTTGCCCAACAACACCTGGGAATTGGACAAAGTTTAGATGTTGCAGACATTTGAAGAAAATAATGCATAGGGCTGGTTACTTGTATTAGATTATTTTTGCTTTGCCCCCCATGTAACATATTCCAGGTGGTTATAAGCCTCACCACATGACCATTCACAAAAACTGCATGGAGACTACGTAGAATGTTACGATTTTGCAAGGATAGCAGTTATAATCAAAAAGATGTATCCCACCCTCCTAAAAATGGTCTCACCCCAGACTTCATGCCCTGAGAGCCAATCTATCATCTCCAAAGTGAAGGTTCACCTAGAAATTGGTTACTCCACTGGTGCTCAATTTTTGATATACTTGAGGCCCAACATCTGGTGGATGGGTAAGGCAAGCCTTCGTATTCCCTATCGCCTTACCCCAGAATTGATGATAATTTAATCATTATTTTAATGAACTTGTATGACTAACCAATTTCCTTTCTTCACACATGAAGTGATGCTTTAACTAAAGTACTACATCTTGCCCCAAGATTCTTGCATTACATTGAGCTGAGTATGCCCAGCCATAAATGATGAATTAAAGTTGAAATATTTTTTAAAGCTATGTGATTGAACATGTTCAAGCTGGGGGTGCCCAGCCACACCTGGGCATCATGGGATGAATGACCATGATTACAATGGGTTGAATGTTTAGGGTCCTCTATTGATATTCTACTTGTGCTGTAGCTGAGATTTAAAATATTTTTACAATATAAGCTGATGGGGTTTTGTCTCATGTTATGACCAAAGCCAGTGGTTCTCAGCAACACCCACTAATGATTAATTTGATCCAAATTCCCATTTTTTGCCATGGAAACAGAATACTAATAACTGTAAAAACGAAATGTCAAATATTCTCTCCGCAGTGGAGCATCATGTGCCCAATTTTACAAGGGAGGGCTGGCGAAAATTATAAAAAAGGGCGTGAATATTCCCTCCCAAGTAACTTTATTATAGTACAGTAGAAGCAGATGGAAATTACTGTAAATTGTTTACGAATTTTGAATACTCATAATTTAAGCATCAGGTTAATATTGTATTAGGTTTGGTCAGGGTGATCTACCTGACCTAACAGCAAAATGTTGAAGAACATGAATGCGAAAAAAATTGTTCGAAAGGGATCTTGCTAGGATCCTGTTGTGAAAACTGCCGAAACTAAGCGCTTGCTGATATTTTTAACGACTATTTTACAGTGTACGATCAGACATTTCCTGCCTTCCCAGATTTTGGTTACTTTCTTCTCATTATTAAACTTGAAGATATATACTCGCACGTAAAACCTTCCTTGAAAATCGAATCTCACTGATCAGGGTTTCTTGGTTTTTAGCTGATTTTGGTCTCGCAAGGAAGTATTGCATGCCTGCTGAAGCAGAACTGACGCCCGGAGTCGTAACACGTTATTACCGCGCCCCGGAAATACTCTTCGGTGCGAAGACGCAGACGACGGCGGTGGATATGTGGGCAACTGCGTGCGTGTTCGGCGAATTGCTGCTGAATGGACCGATCTTGCCGGGGAAGTCCGACGCCCATCAAGTGGAGCTCATCATCGAGTTGTTGGGCACTCCGAGCGAGGTGAGTTATTGGTCATGCCTTACTTCTTATATTTGCGTGCCACGGGTAGTTCCATCATGGTACAGTATTTATTTTTATTGCAGTGATTTTCTTCTCAATTAGGATTTACTCTGCTAATTTTTACCAACTAAGACTAGTCTCAACTAGGTTGAAAAATTAAAAGTGGGTCCAGGAGTGGCGCAAAAGGTTTTCTTTATATTTTATACAAATCTACTCACAAACATGAAGCATATTACATGTACATACCACAATATGATACTGAGATGTATAAGATGTACAACAAAAGGACTGGACTTCCGAAATGGAAGCTAAAACAGACAATAATAAAAATATCAACATTGTTCGCGGGTATGCCACTGTACTCTTAGAGATTTTCAGGTGTTACAGGGACGCTGTCTGTGTCATCCACTTGACTAAATCAAATCTACACCTATAGTTGGATGAGGATAATTTATGTTCATTGAAATGTCACAGCATTTTCCGCATTATGTTCATTCTTCAGTAATGCTTCAATCTTCTTGTGAAATTACTTACATTTCGTGCAGTTTTGAGGTAGGTTTGTAAAATTTACCCCTTTTGCAGACGAGAATTATGAATAACATATTGACGTTTTCGGATTAAAACCCCATTTTCACAGAGCCTCAAGCGTCACAAAAACTAATTCTTTAAGGAAGCAGTGAAACATATAATACCGTAAATGAAGGTTTATCCGGATTTTTTGATTCAATTTTCGGTCGAGTAGGCCATCACTTTGTCAAAATAATTTTTCAATCGTCTTGTTGAATGGGAAGGTCAATGTTCAAATACAGTACTGTAATAATAAATAAATAAGCCTTGAATTTCCATAACTATCAAGGCACCCGTTACTTTTTTTCATTCTTTCGTGATTTCTAGGCGATTTGGCCAGGCATGTCGAACTTGCCAGCCATGACGAATTTCAAGCTTGCATCCCAGCCGTACAACAACTTGAAGTCCGTTTTGCCGCGACTCAGTGATTCTGGACTGCGCCTGCTCAACCTGCTGTTCATGTATGACCCCGTTAAAAGGTACGAAAGTGTTGGTTTATCCAGATTTTTCATGTACAGTATTCTTAAAAAACTACCTCATTTCATGTTATTCAGGGGAACTGCTGAGGATGCATTAGCCAGCGGTTACTTCACTGAAAACCCGCCGCGTGAGTCTTCCTTGTGATGATGATCCATTTATATTGCGTCTAAGTGCGTGTTCCCACAGCGTGTTCGCCAATGGAAATGCGCGACTATTGCGCGAAGAACTGTGTTGGAAGACCATTTAGCGCTGCAGCTGCTGTACGAAATGTATCAGCGGATGGCGTTGCAATGATCAACACGGTGGTACGTTGTCTTAGGTCATGGGATTGCATTTTCTGTGGTTTGTGAACGGTGGTTGTTTTTTTTTTTTTGCAGAAATCCAATTTCCGCTAGAACCATTGACAGGGAATCGCCTGTCGGTCTGCTCTGTCTCCAGTTTTCATGCATGGACAGATGTAAACAAATTTCCCGAAGTTGTGACTTTGGGGAAGGGGGTGCCTTGTAATGTATCGCACTTGGCCAATTTAAAAAGGAGTTTGGTGTAAACGTTTGATGTTCCAAAGTTATGGATGATTTCGTATTTTGTCGTTGAGTAAATGCAAAGGAAAAAATAGTGCCGATCTGTTGGACGGCGTCCACGTGTTTCATACACGAGGGGATGTGCCAACAGTTCAGGGTCTCTGTTTTTCCGTTCTGTTCGTTGCAATTTTGTATCTATATTTTTTGTGTTCATTATTCGAGAGTTCAAGAAGACATGCTTTCGGGGCAGTTCAAGTGGATAACGTAGAAGATTAATTTAAGAGTTGAATCAATGCATTGCTGCAGCTTCACAGCAAGAAAGCTGAATAGAAATAAAATCGAACTTTACTAACTACGAAATGTCGTAAGATCTGTAAGCCGTCCACGCAATTGCAGACGGCATTTATCCCTAAAAATAAACTACGGTTATTTTGGAGTAGTTTCATGTTTCCCTTTCTTCATTCGTTCGATCCGAAATATTCTCCTCAAAGCGCAGTAAACCTTAATTCAGCAATTTGATATGAATAGATATTTCTACATGGAAATGACTCACTTCTACAGAATTCCATTAAAAGGGAACATTTTCATTGCTGATCGCGCAAGATGTTTTAAAGCGGTTCATTATTATGGGGACTTAGTGCGTGAATACTTCATGCATATATGTGTTGTATTTTTCAGGGTTACTTGTACATCTTACGTGTTTGGAAGAACTTTTCAGTGAATTGATCAATCAATCAAGCCAAAGCCTCGGATATTGTGACATGGTCCTAGAAGCAAAAGGATAATGATAATTATCCGTGTGTGCACTTCCAAGATAATGATAATGGCAAGTTCTTGGGTCCATGCTTACAATAAATGGGTGCAAAGAAGAAAAATCTTGAGAGTTCGTAAAATTCAAATTCTTACGATTCATGGGAAATATGCTTCGTTCCAATTCGAAGATTCAACATCAGCTGACGGGAATGCGGCAAAATGTATAGAACCAACAGTACATGGAACGTCGGCTTTAAGTTCGGCATTTCATGAATCGGAAGCAGAATGTGATTCTTGCATTCCCAATTCTCAGGATTGAATTTGTGATCAATCAGTTTTTGTGGAGATTAAGCACCGGGCTTAAATGATTTCGTGGTTTTGAAGTATCCGGTTGAAAGTGATATGAAACGTTTGCGTTTCGAATTCTTCGAAATTCGGTCTTGGCGTTCATTCTATTGCACATCCGGGTGGTGGATTAACGAGTGGTGCTGTGTTGCATGTTTAAAAATTAATACTGTACTCTACACGAATGAACTGATTCTGTTAGTTGTGTATGGGGCAGTTGCTCAACTTTTCATCATGTTTTGCTTGATCAACTTAGAAGCGTAATATCTCAGATTAATTTTCTTGAATATCAGTCGAATGTAAACAATGTCAAAGCGTGACTCAGGCGACAATATTGGCGCTAATGCTTTTGTTGCGAACCGCGGGAATGATGATGATACGACGAAATTGAAGGACTATTTTGATCACCAGCCGTATCAAGAGGACGAGTTGTTCGCTGATGAATCGGTGAGTGGAGTGTCGTGCGTCTAAATCTCTTGGTGAAATGTGTATCCTGTCGTAAATGATCGTCGTGTTTTGCTGGAAGTTTCGTTTTTGACCAGCTTCTCCCCCTTTTATTTTTTTCTTACTTCAGGGTTTGAAGCCGTGGTGGACTTCAAATTTTCTCCTTCGACAACCAACGTTGTTCGGTGCTTGGGACGGTGTTTTCACCTCGTGCTTGATTAACATTTTGGGAGTCATCGTTTTCCTCAGATCGGGATGGATTGTAGCTGAGGCTGGGCTATGGATGTCAACGCTGATAGTCACAGTTTCTGGTGAGCCAAGCGATTTCGTTGATCGTCAAAATTTCTATATTTTTCAGGTTCCCGAATGTTCTGCAGGTTGCTGAATTGATTAAAAGCTGAGGGAATGCCAAATTGTACCCTTTCTCAATTTGCCATTTCGGACCATATGCGCGTTAATTGGATAAATTGTAATTTACTTTTCATGCAACAAAGCCAGTAATATTTTGAATATTCTTCCGAGCGTTTCAACTCTTCGTTAACTTACTCTCAAGTTAATTTCTTGTTTTGATCCTTTCAAGTATTGTTTATTGTTTGTTTTTTAAATGGGTACATTGTTCCAACAAAATCTGTTTTTACTTTGCCTTCGTTGAGCATAAGCATGATGCTGATTTTCCACCTTGTTTTTCTCACTTTTAGTGAATAATTCAAGGTTTAGGTGTACAAATTCGAGAAAATTAGGGTTATGTTGAAGGAGGAATGCATTTTTGCCCCCGGTGAAGGCACTTTTTCTGATCCTCTATGTTGACGAGAAAAGTACCGTACACCCCGTCCCCGTTTAAATTCTTCCTAAGGGACTGCGGACTTCATTGTCAACCTTCGTTTTGTCGAACGCCTCCCATCACACCATGACTTGGGGTATTTTCTGTTATATTTCAGTGCTTGTCATCTTGACATCTGTACTATCTGCAATCGCGATTTGTGAGATGGGAAGCGTTGGTAGTGGAGGAGTGTATTCCGTACTATCCAGCACTCTGGGTTCCCGTGTTGGAGGGGCTTTTGGGTTGCTTTACTGCTTTGGTAACGTAAGTACTGTATGGGAAATCGAATGCTGTGTCGGTAGAAACTTTTTTCTTAGGTTCTTTTTCCGTTTGTTTTTAAATCTGAAAAGGCTGGTTTAAGGACGCATGAAGCCTCGCATTTCTGGATCTCTGTCTCTTCTGAACCCCTTCCGGGCACTTATCGGGGCTACCGATTGGCAACATAGGGGAACCCATGTGTCGGGCCGTTACCATCACCTCCTTTTTGACACATCCACACTGAAAATGCCGCCTGTGCTGAAGTACATACAAACTGAACTTAGACATTTTCGTTTGAGATCCAATAAATTATTTCATGAAAGTTATGATGGCTTCCGCGGTGCTTCTAGTGGGAGCGTTTGATTCAGGTGGGCACATTGAAAAGCTAGTGGATATTTTTTAAACGAAAGTCAAGTTGGTGCATTGAAGTTATCGGGTTTTAACAAAATGCCCCTCACGGTTAGCGTAATACCTGTCCTGGCTTTAAAAAAGTAGCGTGGAGTTCTTTCAACTGTTCTTCCAATAATTGGTAATTTTAATGTCTTTTTTTCTCTCATTTTTTCTGCTTGGTGAAACTCTTGGAAGAATGGGGATTCCGAAGAATAAGTATAATATATTTTAACCCATCCCTGAGCTTGTCAGCGTCGTCTTTTAAAGGAAGAGGTTGAAAATTGTTTCGTTAGTGATGGTTTCCTCCCTTTTGAAATTGTTGAATAGGATCAAACATTTTATTGAACAACCGTATTGTGGTTCGTTCTCTCATCAAAGAGTTCTCTTAACTAAGAGAACAGTTTTCTGATTAGGTTACTGTTCAAGAAATACAGTATGACTGAGTTTTCTAGAATATGCGCGCATTTTTCGTGTACTTCTGCTGGTAGTTGTTTTAGGAAAGAATCTATTTTTCAACGTTTCTTTTCTTGAATATGACGTGCAGGAATCGTGTTTTTGTTCGAAGTGAAATGCCTGCGGAGTCGCTTCGGTTTGGTTGAATTGTTTATTGCCGGATAGCTTTACAGCAAGAAAGACGAAACATGCGAGGTTTTGGTGGTGGAAAGTTGCTGGATGAATATGAAATGCTTGTGTTTTTCACCAGGCGGTAGAAGGAGCCCTTCATGCAGCTGGTTTTGGGGAATCAATCGCGGAACTATTCGTCATCAAAAATCCTTGGATAGAAACCGTGTTCGGGATTGGGTTGATTCTCTTTCTGGTCATCATCAACATTGCAGGAGTCCAGTGGGTAATGAAGTTCCAGTTCTTTTTGCTCCTTGGGTTGCTGCTGGCTGTTGGAGATTTTCTCGTGGGAAGTCTGCTTGAAGTGCATCCAGGTATGCATGCTTTTCAATTGCTGATGTATAATCAGTGGATTTAATGCTGAATTTAGTTGGAGCAGTTATTAAGTTATAGATTCCGCTTTGAAGCTCGCTCAAATTCATAAGGGCTCACGATTGGTTCATACTATGTGCGAACGACGTTTCACGAGCTTTTTCTTGTCTCTTCTTTTTTATGCTCGCAGAGGTCGGTATCACTGGGTGGTCCACCGAAACCTTCTGGAATAACACATCTCCGATGTACAGCAATGGAAGTGACTGGTTTTCAGTCTTCGGTGTTTTTTTCCCCACTGTCACTGGAATTTTGGCTGGTGTTAATATGGCGGGAGACTTGAAGCAGCCAGCAAAGGACATTCCTGTCGGAACACTGTCGGCCGTTTGTTTTAGGTGAGACAGATTAACGCTTCTTGAAGTTTTCGGCGTTCATGGAAAAGAGCAAGATGAAATTTTTATTTTCTGCATACCGTGAAGTGCAATATTTTTAATCCGGTACCTTGAAGACTTCGGAATAATGTATATAATGAAGAAAAAAGTTTGCTTGGAAAAAATCGTGAAGACCTTAATGACCGTGTTGAATTATGTCTGAATATGTAATAGAGGAAGTCTGCCTTGTTTGCATTCCAAGTTGGAAGGTGCTCCGAGTTATGCCTATCCACGAAATACAGTAGTTCACAAAATGCGCTCGAATTGTATGTTATTGGAATAGCACACGGTGAACGACTCGTTCATATAACTCCTGGAAAATGAAATTTGAGCGACTCACGTTTTGATTCGACCAATTTTTTCCCAGTTTCCTGGTTTACCTGACTTGTATTTGGATCTTGGGATGGACTTGTGACAGATCTGCGCTGCAAATTGATTTCTTGATCATGGAAAAAGAAGCTTTCTTCGGTGAGTTCTTCTTCTGGACAAGGATTGGTTTCTTTTTTTTCCGATGTGTACTAGTGTATTGAAAAGCACTGGTGTATTCCATGATCGTCATTACTTTCCCGGGCGAAAGATTTGTGTTGTAACTTGTAAGTGATTATCCTCCGAGCAAACTGTTCAAGATTGACTGAAATTAGTTTATGACACTATAAGCTTTGCCGCATTCCTATTTTTAAAATATTGCAATTAAATGTATTGTCCTTACGTCTGGCTTTCGAGTTAATTCTTGGGTATTCGAAGTAGAGTAACCGAGATGAAGGGATGCTGTTCAACATGATAAGCCCTCAGTCCCCCGTTGAAAGAAAACCAACGGATGGAACTTGAATTAAGCCTTTTTTTCCAAAGCGTCACTGCCTACAGAATGCGCAGTTATGAATTTCCAGCGATTTCTAATCCGTAACCCGGAATTTAGTAATCACTCTCCGCTTGTTTGTGCGCGAGTACGACTTCTTGAAGTTCGTTCCTCTTCTCCGTACAGGGATATTCGTGCTCATTGGACTTTACGTGTCATCAGTGTCAACGTGTCTCGGAGTGTTGTATGGCACTCCGCGGGTTCTCCAAAGCATTGCAGGACAGAAAATAGTTCCGGTGCTACAGCCATTGGAAAAAGGGGTACGAATTCCGAGCTTTATTTTGTGAGCCGTGTTTTGAAATTCTATACTACAGTAATTTAAACTTCCTTTCATTTTATCCTTTTTTGGTAACCCATTGCATATTTTTTCGGTCGGATGGTTGGTTCGATTACATATTTTCTCTGTTGCTTTTCTTCAATTTTGCAAGTTTTTATGCCTCGGGACCCGTGTTTTTACAAGGTCAGAGATTAATGAATTGCCTTTTAACTTTTCTTGCTTGTCTGAGGCAATTTTTCGCAATAAAAGTTTTCCTCTGAATATCGCGTGGAATTACAGTACCGTACTGTAGCTTAGGTATTCCAGATGACCGTTTTTCTTTCAATGAGTTGCTCTGTATTTATATGCTCCAGCGAGGTCCGAACAATGTTCCTGTTTTGGCTGTCCTCGTCGTGGGTGCAGTTACGCTTGTTTTTGTGCTAATTGGACAGATCAACCGCCTCGCACCGATTGTGACGTTGCCTTTCTTGCTGACATATGCGGGAATTGATTATGCACATTTCGCATTGGTGCAAGCGAGGCTACTGAATATCTCTTCTGCGCAATTCGCTGCCTCTAAGGACCGGTAAATTGAATGCAAATTTCATTATTTATTCGTGTGTTCTGAGAAATTGAATTCTGTTTTTGGTTCCTGGCAGAAAACCGCCGAGTGGACTACTTCAGAGCCCAACCTTTTTGCAGCCGACAGAAGAGGTACAAATTTGTGATTTTGTCAGTCCAAACTTAATTCGCGAATAACTCGTGCGAAACCTTGAAGTAACGTTGGATCCCCTCCCCCTCATCTTCTTGCCGTAATTTTGTACACGACATAATGTACTAGCAGTATTTTTCGAAACGGTATTGTGTGTATAACTACGTATTTAATTATGCTACTGCTTCTTTGTTATTTACCCAGGGTTCATATTCTCCCCAACTGGGTTTGGATCCTGAATTTTCTGGTGAAATTCTGTCGCAGCCGAAGTCGTGCTATTCGGTTTTCTGCAATCATTATGTCTCTCTGTTCGCCGTGAGTGCATGACTTCGAAGTTATGATTTCGTAATACTGTACTGTATTGATACTGTACTATGTTGATATTTGAACAGTGTGCCCTGAAGGTGATGATGGTTTTGCTGGTGCATTGGATATACGGCTTGGCCTTCCTTGCAATTTTGGGCTCGTTGTATTTGTACATCGGAAGATGTTCGCAAACGTATTCACCGGGATTGGCACACGAATTTTCCTTCTTTGAATGGATTTTTGACTTGGCATTTTCTCCGGGAAGTGCTGATGATCATGCGAAGTTCTCGTGGCGCAGGTTTGTACCCTCATAATGCATTGTGGACCGTGTTGGGATGAAGTGGGACAGAATACGATGTTGAATCATTTTAAGATCATCCGTTGAGTAAATTGGGTTCTTCAAGCTATTTGTTTAGGTCTTGCTGCGCTCCAGTTCAAGTTTATGATGTAGATTTTTCATCCAGTCAGCTCATCGGGATTTATAAATTCTTTCAAAACTATGGCATATCTGGTATCCCTAGTCGAATACGGCCGAATTCTATTCTATAGCAATCCTAGGATTAATTATTGAAAAAGGTCAATATTTTGCGCTGAGGCGCACATAATTTGTCGAGCTAGAATGATCATTTTGAAAGGAGTCATTGATGAATATTTCCAAATTTATGGTGTCCTGAATTATGGTTTTGTTACCCTCTATCCAAAGATTCTGGAAGAATCACAGGAAAGATTATGAGGAAGTGATCGTTGGCTCGCAACCGCCGTCACGAGATCTATACAGAACCGAGCAATCTCAAGTGACAGACGTTTCGAAAGACTTCAACTGGCGAAAACCGTATCATCAAGCTACTATGTTGTCGAATACGGACGTGAGCAGTCATCAGAGCGAAGTTGGGGAAGAGTAATAACATTACTGACCTGGAATTTTTCTAGTTTATGATTATTGTTGATGATCCCCTAGCTGCTGTGTTTTAGAATAGGCCGTGGAAAAAAGAAACCAATGTTAGCCAGTTGCCTTATATTGGCATAGCCAAAGGAGTCGTAAGTACGAGATTGACCATTTCGTTTTGTGTTTGCGGACCCGCAGATGGTCGCTGGGTTAATTTTTAAGCTTTACATGGTTCTGGAATTCTCATGACACTCACGGTGTTCATACTGCGTGTTCATTTTGTTTTGTGAGATTTGATTACTGCTTTAAATCCGTGATACAAATTTCAAGGATGTTATTTTTGTGGTCTGGTTTTCGTCTAGTCTTTTGAATTCACGTTGAGAAACATGTCACCTCCGCCAGTAACTTTCATGGTGAACTCACTCTTGAAGGACTTTCAGTGTTGTGATGCGATTTCTTTTTTCGCATTGTATGCGGGTTTTTTGTTGTATGGATGTTGCAAAATGTACGCATGTGATGTTGCTTCGTCAGTTACCCAGCAGAAACGAAGAGGAATATTCTTGTTTGCGGGGCGCTCTTTTTCATCGGAACAAAGCGTTCTTCCTCTACATTTTACCTTCTTCCTTCATTTTTAAGCAAGAGGTGTGTGTTTGCAATAAGTATGTCGGACGGGAAGAAAGCAGAATCGAGAGATTCTTCGAAGACCAAGTCAGAACTTGGGTTACTTGATGAAGATGATGAATTCGAGGAATTCCCAGTTGAAGGTAAACTTCAGAGAATCTGTTATCCGAATATTATATTGATGAAGAAATTATTGATTCATCCGCAGAGTGGGGACCAGAAGAAGATGATGGGGAGGACCTGAATGTTTGGGAGGATAACTGGGACGACGACCAGGCCGAAGATGATTTTAGCCAACATTTGAAGTGAGTCGACATGGAAAAAAATTTCATGCGTGGATGGTCGAGAGGAAATTATACGGACTAATATTGTTTTCTAGGGCGGAATTGTCGAGAGATCCCGCTAAAATGGAGTCCTAATTCGAAATGGAGACAACTGTTGTTCGGCTCGCCGGGTTTCCAATTCCGAACGGTGTTATACGCAGTGCTCTTTGTGTGTTATGTCAGCTGCCTTGTCCGCGTAAACAGTTCTGAAGCTATTTTTGTTCTGTTTTCTGAACTTGAGGGCTATTCAAGTGCATAAATTTGAGCAAAATCAAACTAGGCATTTCAGTATTCATTTGACATCGATTAATAAGAGCAGTACCATCTCCTGAGTTCTCTTATACTGGAAAGTTTATGCGCCATGTCTTACGATTGATTTTTCATTCAAGATTAATTTTTTTCAACTCATAAATTGTCTGATTGTTTAACGAGGAACTAACGAGAGAAACGTTCGTTGAGCCTTCGTTTGTCTCTAACAAGTGTCTTCCTAATCTTCACAAATCATTTCAAATGGCTTCTTCCTGAAAATTTTCATTAATCTCATTATATGTATTTGCTCAATTGAATGTAATGGGTCCCTTCAAAATTATTCATTTAAATCTATGTAGACAGATGTAGAACCATTAATCTTTGAGACAGTTGCTCGTCGATCAGGGATCTTCATCCTTAGTTTCAATGATGGTTCTTGTTTTAACCTGGAAGTAATTTTTGCGAGCAAATACAAATGGGGGATTCAAGCGGTTTATGTATGTATTCTGCAGAAGGGAAATTCAGGATTGAATAGCTGTATTGGGTGTCAGTGTTTCAATTTCATCATAGTTGGACAGTTTTTCTTTCAGTTCCTTCGAGAAAAATTGCTGAATTTCCCCGACAATAAAAAACTTTTAATGTTCTCTTGTGCAATTACTGTAATACATGACACGGACCAGCAATTGAAAAGAGCGTTGAGTTTCAGCAATTTCAGTAAATCAAATACTGTACTGGACTGTATTTACCATAAAGGAATAAGAAGTCTCCCAACCTGAAGCAAAAGAAAGTAATCAAGACCTTGCAAACATCGGAAGGGAATAGAGGTTTGTATACCTGTTCTGAAGCTATTCCGTATTTTATTTTATTTTTTAATTCCGGATTAATCTTGTGTATTCCTGTTGGATTTCCCTTTTCATATTTCATCACACCTGTCCTGCAATTGCTTTTGTAAAAAAATATTTTTTTACTTGAGTGATTTTTTTGTGCGTACAGATGTTGTGAATAAAAATGTTCAAGTTTATGCATTGAATTTACGCAATTATTGTACAACGGTAAAGAATTTACTTTAAGTTTTTTGTTGACTCGTTTTATGTTTGCTAATGTTCTCGTGTATAATTTCTAATTTCAGGCTGAATTGCGAGTGATATTTGTTGTTTCACACAGTGACTTGAATCACATTTTCGGAGCTACTCATCTTGCGGTGTACAACATTGACAACTGCAGGCTTCTTATGCGAGTTAGTAAAACGGCAAATAATTTTTAAAATTTTACCTTTTCAACTGTGAAGTATTCTCATTTACTATGCCAGTACAGTAAGTTTGATTTATTTGAAGTGTTCTGATTTCATTGCAGAAAATATGGAAATATATCGTTCCCGAAGAATGAAACCGAAGATCGGTTTCAAAGGATACGTATACAACATTGACAAAAGCAGACAAGACCGCACCACTTGGAGGTGTGAGCGAACTGGCTGTAAAGGCAGAGCTCACACTCCGAAGAATTATGCTGACAGAGAAGGAGAAGACATCGTCACTGTCACGCAAGATCACTCAGGCCACATCCCTGATTCTCTTGACAGTGAAATAGCATGGATTCGGACAAAGATGGCAGAAGCCATACCTTCTGAGAAGTCACCGGAAGCAATTGCTTCAGAAATTTTTGCGAGGTCATCAAGTTTTGATCACCGAGTGCAAGAGAGAATCGGTGGTGCAAGTGTTTTGTGTAGATCGATCAAGCTTGCGAGGCAGAAAATGAACAAGGATAAACCTCCTCCAGATGTGGAATCGTTGGAGAGCTTGGAGATACCTTTGAAATATAGAACGGTGGGGCGGGAGGAGAGAAAAGAGGACTTTCTTGTGTGTGATTCCGGAGTTAATGAATGCCCCGGTCGAATTATAATCTTCGGTACGAAGAGAGGTTTTACTTGGCTCGAAAATCATGTTAGTTGGTTTGTTGATGCGTCTTTCTTGAACATTCCCAAGTATGTTGGTATGCTTTGCACCATCCACATTGTTTTTAACCACACAGTAATTCCTTGTGCATATGCTGTGTGTAAAAATAATGATCGTGCTACGTTTACTAAAATTTTTCAGATCATCAAGCATAAATGTGGGATTTGTGCAGACCCAAGTTACATTATATCTGAGTTTACTGCAGACGTTTTCCAAGCGATTAAAGATGTTTTCCCGAAGGTTAAAATCTTCGGTTCGTTATTTAATTTGGGGCAGCAAGTGTATCGAGAGGTGGATGCAATGGGAAATTCGATGTTGTTGGCTGAGAATGATACTTTCCGAACGTTAGTTTGTATGCTTCCAGCGCTGTCATTCTTGCCATTAGCCATTGTTCAAAGTGCATTTGAAGAAATTAAAAATTTACCTTTGTACAAAGATGCATCAACAAACGTGAAATTGTGTTTCGAGTCTGTTCATTCGTTTTTCGAAGGTAAATTCATTCTTACTGATGTGAAGGGATATCACTTCGACCATGAAACTTGGAATACGAAATGCCGAATGGATCAGGGGATACTTCAATTGAATAGTGCCATTGAAGAATGGCATACTCAATTTTGTAATTCTTTGCAATGCAGAAATCCAACAATCTGGACTCTGATGGAAACATTGCAGAAGGAAGAGTTGAAACAAGAAAAGATTTATGAAGACTGCTTCAATAAGAAACCTGTATATGGGAAGAAGCAAAAAATTAAACAAGCAAATGCTGCGATTACCGCGATTGTTGATAAAGCGGAAAGTCAATCTTTGTGCTCATACCTCACTGGATTAACTTTTCATATGAAACTGAATAAATAATCTTACGTGGAAGTTCCCGACCAGGGCATGGTATTTTGCATTTTGTGAGATTTACGAAAGGATACGTTGTCCGGAGTGTGAGGTTCTAGCCCCTTTTTTATTTCACTTCTGTGTATTTGCCTTCTGAAATCGATGTTACGAATTATTTGTCGTGGTGCATTCGTTGTACACTGGTTACTTCGTGTCCGTTGCAAGTGTGGATGATGATGAAGTGTAAGAGTTGATTTTGAGGAATGCATGAGATTATTCTAAAAGAATTTTAATATTTATTACAATTGTTTTACTCATTTACTCGTGAGTTAAAAACAAATTTTAACTGTGCTGCTTTCAGTGTGGCCGTATAGGGCTGTAGATTTCAAGAGTGGAGTACTGTACATCCAGTATTATTTGAACCAGGCCTTTCTATACACTCTGCATTTCATTGGTGACAAACTGTTAGCACAATTTAAATGTCTCTCACTTTCCATACCTCGAAGAAAAACGATGGACAACAAAACATTGTGTTGAACCCAATAAGCAGTATCAATCCCTGGTGGTTCTGAGCTTGTGAACCAGATAAATTTTTCTTATTCCATGCAACATTGTATGCCTATAAAAATGTCTTCACTGCCTAACTTGAAAAGCAGATTTTACCCTTGCATCATTCTGAAATAATTAATTTTGTAACCTGGCTCTGCAGAGCTTGAACTGCTTTCAGTGGACCCCTCGAAAATGAATCACTCTTTTTGTTCTTCCCTTCAATTTTCGCTACCAATTGACTCGCATTCTTCAATGCAGCAACTTTGCCTTCTACTTGAAGAGCGGCATTGAATATCAATACAAGGAATGGTATACTGTATCTGTTTATTTTACTGTGTGATATTATTTGTGGCATATAATTTAAAATGCCATTCTGGCTTTATTTGCTTCTTTTAATTGGATGTTTCATTTTAGAATCCTCAAGTCTTTGTATTCCATGCGTTAATGTCCGGAGTACCGTCTTCGTCGAACACTCAAACCCAATTCTGGGTTGTTCAAATAACCATCAGTAATGACGTGTTCAGTTACAGATTGGAAGCCCGCTGATGTTGGCTTGGTAGCGACACCTACCATATGACATACGGTACTCTGACCTGCGAAGTGCAGTGATCGAGCGTCTGCCGTTTCGGGATGGTGATGCGGGAGGGATGCCGCGGCGGATCGAAATGCCTCCAAAATTGTGTACAGTACTGTATAAGGGCTTCGTAATTCATTCCTTGGAAGTGAACGTCCGTGTGACGAGTTATGACTTATAATGGAATGCCGACTTCACTTTCCCCTCAGTGAACGTTTGAGACAGAATTCCCGCGAAAGTATACATCGCGGATACGTTTGAGCGCCTTGTCGCGAAAATCTCGTTCGCGGATGGGAGTTGCTGCTTCAAAGCTGCGTGCACATGCTCGACGCTGAAGCAAATTCAAGAGAACGTGTAATGGATGTCGTGGCTGATCAATGTGAGACGGAGGAGTCAGACTGGGAGATTTTTCCGTTGGAAATCGTTGAGGAAATTCTGCGACGTTCGTCTGTGAAAGCTTTGCTGAATGCTAGGTTGGTTTGTCGTGAATGGTGCGGTTTAGCGACCGAAATATTGAAAAGCCTGAAGCGCTGTGATTGGGACGCGAGATGCATTGGCGAAGTGCCTCGTGCTCAGCTTTACCAGTTGATTAACGCACTAGGTCTTAGAAAGGCGGGTGACGAGAACGATGACGGCGTGTTGGAAGTTGTGGACTGGCGCCTTCGTTTTCCCGTCCCTTACTTGAAAATGGTACCCATGTACGAATCCAAAGACGTTCTGATGCGTTTGCTGAAGCATCCGACTAAAATTTCGTTTGATCGACGTGCTGCATTCGAAGCATGGTTGTCTCCTTGCATAGTGACGTGGGAGGCCCCATCTGTAACGCACTTCACCTTTCGAGAATCGGCTACTTGTGCGAAGGTACGTGATGGGAATACTTCTGATTAAATTATACCATGCATGAATCGGGAAGTTTTTCGTGATGTACTTCGTTTTCCGCGTACATCATGATAATTTACCTACTGTATGTAAATTGCACCCGATTGTCGACTCGTTGTACTCACATGTAGAATCTGTTACAGGTGTCAGGTGACGTACTTCTTGTTGGCGATGCTCATGGACGCTTTGCTGCTGTTGATCTTGACACCGGTTTGGAATATGGTGAAACTATACCAACGGACAACAGTTCCATAAAAATAATTGAACCAGTCTTACTACCAGACGGTTTGAAATTTGCTTTACCAGGTACGAAACATATCCTAGGAAATTGAATGAGGGCCGGTGATTATGTTATGATATTAAATTGAGGGGTTTAAGACGAGGTTTGACTGTCTTGACCACACGTATCTTGGATGGGTTTGTCTCGGACTTTTTGGTATCTGAAGAACTGCATGACTGAGATGATTTTGGAACATCCTTTCGATTCACGAGTACTGTACTAAATTTTAAAGTAAAAATTATATTTGCGCAAGTTCGTGAATACAGACTCGGTCCATCTTGGTGCATCTATGTACGGTATGTCTAGCTGACCTCAAGAGACACTCGAGAAAGAACGTGTGCTTTTTTATTTGTACGTTCGATTTAATAGGCGTCTTTTCTCCGATTTTTACAGGAACTTCTGCGGTTCTTAGCCACAATTCGGCCATTTGTGTTCACCGATCTGGACGAATGTATGTTGTGCATCTTAACGCGCTTCGTGAAGCTGTTTTCAGTACTGACGGAATAATGCGTTCCACGTTTGAGTTTGTTGCTGTTCGCTCTCTGGGAAAGCGTACGGAACTTGGATCTATTGCACACGTTTTCTATTTACCGGAACTGGGAGACATTGTGATCGTTGGACGGAAGGGGTTTTGTGTTTTACGACAGGAATATGACTACAGTCCTTCCTCAGAGCGAAAAGTGATTTTCCCGCCTGATTGTGATACTTCAAAGGCATCCCCAGCGAATTGGAAAGTGTTTCGAGCGGACGCTATGTCTGCGTTGAGAATGCGTGATAATCTGAGAGGGCTGCATTTGTCGGCTGATGCGAAGAAATTCGCTTTCTTTCCTTGTTTCGGCGATGATGTTTTGCAAGTTGACATACTCGGAGATTTGTTAGCGCTTGGTACAGAAACGGGTGTTGTGATGGTATTCTATTTGAAAAATTCTTCTGAGTCGTTTATGAGTATCGATAAATCCCAACCGCAATTTAAGGCGTCGTTAAAAGACTACGTTGACCTGGAAATTGGCGACGAAATCCATTCGGTCTGTTTGAGTCACGGAGCTGGCGGTTTTCCGTTTTTGGTAGTGGCAACCCAGCGATTTTGTATCAAATTCCGTTGGTGAAAAGCGAAGACGTATTTCCAGTGCGAGTGTTATTTTTGGTCATGATTTTTTGAACGTGAAACTTCGTTGTTCGCATCCAGATAAAAACAACGATGAGAAAAACAGCCGTGAGTCCGTGTTTCATTGTCCCATGTCGATTTCTTTTATACAATTCAAACGTTTTCTTGTTCTATTTGTTAATTTGAAAATATTGTACAGCAAGAATTAAAATGAATATACTCAGCAAGAGAATTTTGATCCTCAAGTACAAAGGCTTTTCAAAAGTACTTCATATTGGGCTGGTTGATGACTGCCCACTTTTTAGCCGAGTGATTTTGGCGAAACAGTGTTGTCCCGTCCTGCGCAATCGAATGCAAGAACTTTTTGCTGGACCACTGAATTTTGTTCTAGAAAGTCCACCTGTATCTCTTCAGAATGTTCAGTCTTGAATATTCATTGATTATTTCAAAATGCGCTTATATTTTGCTTTATGCAGAGCGCTTCCACAACATTTTCAGCCAAGCAGGTTGGAACTTCTCAAAAAAGCAAGCTTTGCAAAAATATGTAAGAGAGGACTGCCAAATAGACACACAATTCCTAATCCTGTGGCATCTGAAGTGTAACTAACCTGTGTATTTCTCACATTGATATCCTCATCTCAAATTTTGTGAAGGAATGGAGCTGATATCTTGAATTTACAATGTTGGCCAATATCTGAGGTTTGCTGTCTGAATTTATCAATTTTTCTGAATGACGGGAAAGCCTGCGCCGCGGCCATACAAATGGACAGTAAGAGCTGCAGGTGCATGGATGCCGTCATTGGGGCCATCATACCTAGTAAGAAGCTTGTTTTTTACACCATTAGACTGATGGCTCTAAAAGTATTACTGATTTCTGTCTCAAACTGAAAACCGGCCATTTACAGAATTCATGACGCATGTGACCATTGACGAATAGTATTGATTGCTTTCCTTTTAAGACTTGAAAATTCCTTGATGGATGATCATGCAATGAAATTACAGTAGCAATATACAGTACAGTACTGTAAAAAATAATTATACATCAACATATGCTGCGTTTCTGTGCAGGCTCTTGCAAAAATAATATTCACAAGATGTGGCTCAAAAATTGCCCCTTCGCTGGATCATGCATGGAATTTACCATATTGCATGCAGGGTGGGCTGAAAAAAGTGAACCGATTTTTGAATTAGGATATCTGATATCTCCGTTAAAAATTAAGCTACAATGATGAAAAAAAATACCGAATGAAAGCTTATTCAATTCTCTCTCAAATGTTTTTGTTCTTTAGTTTCAAGGGTCATCATACTCATCAAACAGTCACAAAAACCACCGGACTGAAAACTTTCAAAAAAATGTTGTCACAAACTCCTGCTAATCTGCCGTCTCCAATACCTCCCCAAATTACCTTAAAATTAGGACAACCGCGGATTAGCAGGAGTTTTTTTAAAACATTTTTTTTTAAAGTTTTTATTCAAACAGTTTTTGTGACTGTTTGATGACTTTTAGGACTATAAGAAAAAACTATTTGAAAGAGAATTGAATAAGCTTTCATTTGGTGTTTTTTCATTGTTCTAGCTTGATTTTCAACAGAGATATCCTAATTCAAAAATTGGTTCACTTTTTTGCCCACATGTATACATGAAGTATCTTATCTGACACATGGATAAAACTGCAGGCACAGGGAGCTGTCAAGAATCAGGATGAGTGGATGACGCATAAACCATGAGTCATTTACAGGGCAACGGAGCATGGCACACATTCTATGGATGGATATGTGTACAAAACAGGTTTATTTTCATGAGTATGCCCTTCCAAGCAATGGACCCAGTCACCCAGATCTTGAATTCGGGAAAACAGCGCATGAAGCGCTATTCCGCAGAGTAAGCTACCTCCGACAGAGACATCTAGCATATATTTGAGGAATCAACGTTTTCCTCATTGAATTGTTGTGCTCGCCAGGATGGTTGGTCCAAAACTGGAGAGTGGTCATGTTTTGGAGACAAGCAGGGCTCCTTTATCCAGCATTCGATTTCCCTCTGCTGACGTGGGTGGGTTCGTGATGCTCGTGCAGATGCGCGCGGTCAATGTTGCTGGTTCTATGTAATAATCAACCCTTTTTTTCGGGAGAGCGAGTAAAGCTATTGTTTGACTTTAGTCAGTTGATTGATTTTCTGTAATTTTCCTAATTATTATTGCCCCAATGCATTTATGAGCATGCATGTATTTTTTCGTGCAAGTGATACACCCGTTGTACCTGTATGATTACAGTATGTGATGTACAATTTACGGCCGCTGAAGATTCCAGTGAATTTATTGATCCATTAATATGCTGTGCATGATTGTTCCGATGTCGCTGTATTCAAGATATGTTAAGCTGAGGACTGGAGACTGGACAATGTTTCTGCTCGGTTTCGCCACCAGGTAATATTTACTGTATATATATGTACCTTGAGTACAGGTCTACCACCATAGCTTTTTTATTTTAAGATTTTCTGCTTTTTCCTCATGCTCTCCGCTGTTTTTTTTTTTCAATGCGGTAGATTACTGTGTCTTGAATTATCCTGATTTAGTGATTTTTTTAATGACACGGGCGCATGCCCATTTTACGATTTTCTCTCTTTTAAATGTACTATAGAAATGCCCACATATCAGTCATAATTAATGTTATTCGGTCTTCACTCTTCAGCCATACCGTATAGCTATGCAGTACTTAACTTCATTTACAACCCGACAGATATTATCCAAAAATTCTGAAAACTGTAAATCAACGTTTACGCGAGTGTTCGCTGCTGCTGGGTTACTTTTTTCGAAAGATTCAGTTGTACATCCGAGATTTAGAGACGAACTGAAATTATTGATTATAAAATCTGATGCTGAATAAAATCTGATCTCATGCACGCGCAAATAAGGGTAGATTAAAAAAAGTATCCATTTTTTCTTGCGTATACCTGCTGTATGTCTAGTGCCGCGTATAATTTTCAGCTTGATTAAAACGTACCTAATAACACTACCAGGAATGCTCTTTGTACTCGTAATACACAGAGCAACAAGAAAAAAAACGCATAAAAATACATAAAAACTGAATAATTTTAAATGTCCTCATTTGACGATCAACAAAATTATTTTTACGTTAGCTGTTCACGTATTTTGTTTGCATTTTTTCCTTTTTGTCTGTTGTCATTACTTGTCAGTCTTGTCAATTCTGATGTAAAAAATTATCCTGCCATATTCTGCCTAATCCGATGAAGCATAAATGCGATGATGTCGAGTTGAAAGATAGTGACTCGGTGAACGTGAGTTCATCAGCTGGAATATGGTTGAGAATGCCAATCCGGATTGTACTGTGGAAATGTGGTTACCCGCTTATACCCCTTCGAAATGTAACTGTACACTATGCGCACACTTCTTTACCCCTGAAGTTCTGTCCTTGAGGATGGCCCCATTAAAGCGACAACTCGTCTGGAAAACGGTCTTCACTACAACGATTCGATTCGCTACAGTCTGGTCTTCTACTTGGTTACGCGCGTCTCTTGCTGTACTCCGCGGCCTACCCAAAAGTTTGAGGCTATACTCCTTGAGAAGAGAGCTAGGCATTTAGAGCAAACAATTTTTTTCAACTTATTAATTGTGCGCGAACTCTTCCTTATCTATGCTTTCGATTGACCAAGAACGACAAAATTTTCTTCATTCACTGGATTCAGTATTTTACACTCGAAGTTTATGCTTTTCAGGAAATTTGAATCTTTTCAACTCAACTCTCAACAGCACTTCCAGTTCTGCAGTAAAAGTTGAACCTCAGAATGACCCCTTGAAAAGTGATTCAATTAGCAGAGCTTCAAAGTTCAGACAGAAATGACCATCAACATGTAGGAGCAATAATATTATGAAGTCTAAGATGCATATCCAGTAGTGTAGTACAGTATAGGATAGGCAAATTTAAAAACTGTCACTCCCATTCTTGGCGCTTGTATATGGTGACACCACTGTATTTCAAATCCCCTCCTCCCAATTCTTGTACAGTATACACATTTTGATGAATTTAAACGTTGAGATAACTTTACATGTGTATGCTTCTCTATGAAGTTTAGTCAAGATAAAATACATTGTATCCTGGCTTAACAATAACTCTTGCGGAATATAAATGTCCTCCAAGTATTTGAGCAAAAAAGATTAACCTGCCACAGGATGGCATGATAGTGATAGCGCCAGGTGTTCAATGTTCGTAAACTTGACTTTTGGGCGCCAATTGCTGCCCTTCTCATCACTGCACATATCATACAGTAACCTGGTAGTAATAGGATAAAATGTTTCGGATAAACTACTGGAATAATCCCGCTTTGTCAGGGGAACTGAAGTATATGTGTAAAGTTTTGGTCGCTACAGAAGTTCGAGAAATTTTGAAGGCACACCTTTTTTTTTACTACAGAATATTGTTAAGCTAAAGCATCTGGTCTTCATCCATAGTTTTGCAAACTTTTTTACTCCCCCATGCGGTCTAAATTCGGTTCGGTGCGCGGGTTCACGTGTCCTTGATACTCCTCACACTTGGGCGAACGATGAGGTCTTCCCGATTAATTTGTGGAAGATTTCAAGAGGGTAGAGTTCATCTTCAAAAAAGTTCATTTTCGGCGTGATTATTGAGTGAAAAAGTTCAATTCGGAGGTACTGCTGTGAATCGGAAAGTTTTTCCTCACTATAAGGGACACAATTTCGCTTACGTGTTTTAATACTAATCGTGTGAGTGCGACTTCGATTTTTGAAGATGACCACGAAGACCGTCGAGATTCTAGAGGTATGCCTGCTTTTTGAAAATTTTTTGTGGTGCTATTTAACATGAAAAATCGATTAATGATTGCAGGTGCAAATCAAGAACATCAAGACCTTCTCTGACGTCACTGTCCGAGATTTCAGCCCAAATGTCAACGCAATCGGTAGGATTGTTGCATTATTTCGCACGATTATCATCATGCTGTTGAACTGATGATGTTATTTGTTCACATTTTCAGTGGGAATGAACGGCACTGGGAAATCTAATTTCTTCTGCGGTATGTACTACGTACTACTATGATTTCAGTTTTTATTGGAGCAACTTATTAGTTGAAGTGGGAGCGATGATTTAAAAAAGGATATTTATTCCAGCACTCATAGATTCGATAATGCCGCTGTTGACTGAGATCACCGTAGAAAGACAGTCCCTGTTTCTTTCCTAATGAAAGACTTCACTTAAACGACATCTCTGAATAACTGACGTGGGCTACTCTTTTTTTTTTGTTGCCTCAATAACATTTTCAGGGTGGCTTCCACCAGTATGCCTAAAAATTTATAGAAGTTCAAAGAAATGTTCCTTCGGAATGGAACACGTTGTATTCGAATTTGTCACGCTTTTCTATATTTCTATCATTTGAAATATTTTTCAGCACTTGAAACTGTCTCAGATTTATAAAATGTGCAGGCGTGGTCCATTAAAAACCAATAAAATATTTAGTGAACTCACGATGATCCTGTCATCATACACTTGTATGTTTCAGCTCTGAAATTCGCCTTGACGAAGTCCTTCTATCCTGCATCGAGGTATTGCGAGGTGGTTGAGCGCAAACCTCGTGGTGACGGAGTAAATCCTTCTGTCACAGTAAAGCTTCGCGTAATCGATGAAGCTGGGAAGGAGAAAATCCTCACGATTTCCCGAGTTATTGTGTCGCAGAACCGCGATGTTGTCTACCTCAACGAACAACGGCTTCCATCCATCGACGTTTTGGGAGCCCACTTGCTGCAAGTCGGCATACCATTCTTTTCCTCGTCCCTGTTCGTGTTCAGTCAGGCGGACGTGAGTTAATATGTTTTCTGAAATTCTGCGGATGACGGGATGAGCTATTTTCAATTCCACTCCTGACCGTGTGGGTGTGGCCAACTGAATCTCTGAACTGAGAGAAAATTAAATGACCGATTGTACTGTGCTTGCTTTTTCCCCGCATAAAACTCCTCTTCGACGATCCACTTGCTTATGTAATGTTTAATTGTCTGATTTTTGACATAATGCTTTCTATTCCGAAATTTATGCGAAACTTTACTCTATAGAAACTTGCTGCATAATGAATTTATTAATTTACCATTTTCCCCGACATTACTCGGTCAAATTCTTCAAATTTGTTTTCAAACCGAGTTAGTTTTTAATTTTTAACAATTAACGTTGGGTATATACAATATATGTATATTCAAGGTTTTTCTGGCTGCTTCTCGAGGCAAGGATCTGCTCAGCCGAGTGGATAGTGTGGTTAGATCGCAATCATTTTTGAACGACTGCTCGGACATTTTCAATGCTTCGAAAGGTAAATATTCCC